GCAATTACCATTTTTTAGTGCTTCTCTGTCTCGATTCCTTTTTCACTTATTCAAATAAAAAACAATTGCAATTGTCTTGTGTCCCGTACATTACAGGTGCTACTTCAAAATTCACTTACCACGACCAAAAAAAAAAGCAAACATTCACTGATGACTATTTCAAATACAACTTCTCTGTATATATTTATTTATATTTCCGGTGGTATCGAGTGCCATGGTTTGGGAATTTATTTTTTCAGAATAATTATTAATTTATTATTTAAATTTGGTATCTAACTGTATAGATAATGGGACATGTGGCTTAGCTAATGTATAGTACTGTCTATCAATATCATTTATTATTAAATAATGACGTGATCTAATTATGATATGGTCACGTATCAATTTTTCAGTCACATATTTTTTAAGTTACATTAATAAAAATATTATAATAAATAATTTTAAAAATGCAAAAATAAAACAAAATAATAATTTTATAAGAACTAAAATTAAAATGCGATATACTTTTAAAAACTAAAGTTATGCTTAACCTTCATTAAAATATTACATATTTTAATTTTAAGAATTCATGCGTATGTCTTGCTGTATGAAAAAACAAGAAAAGTATGTATTCTTTTTTGTTTAAATTATTTTGAAAGTTTTTAAATTATTTTGGAAGTTTTAAATAGTTTTTAACTGATAAGATGAAAGCGAACCTACTACTGCTACTCATAAATAAAATAAACAACAACAATAATAATAATAGTAAATCTTACGATTCTTTTTAGGTGAGCATTACGTGTCATGATGTGATTGCAGATTGTTACCCTTTTAACGACGAATGAAACCATATCTATGTACTATTTATTATGCTCTAATTGTGTTGTATTAGGAAATATCTACGTACTATTTAAAGACCGCATGGACCATCGTAAACACCCAATGCCATAGTGATGTAAGTCTGCTGTCACATAAGGAAAAAATAAATAAACTAAAGCATTTGTATGTATTTATTTGGAAAACTTTGTTTTGTAATATTTTTATTTTTAAATATTGATTCTTCTAAAAATCATTTTGGTGTAAAAATAAAAGTTTTTCTTTTCTTTTCATTTATGAAGCTGTTCCGGTTTAGTTATTCATTATTATTTATTTTAGTTTACTTTTCAAAAAAAAAAATTACAATATCATATCCTCAATTTAATGCAGATTTAAGATTTCAGTATCAGAAATGATAGGTAACTGACAATTTCATTTTTGAAATTATAGAAAAAAATTCTAAAATATAGGAATTGATCATTTTAGTTCACAAAATTATGAAATTAATTATTTTAATCCTGAAATTATAGATATTTGTTAATTTAGTTTCTAAAATTATGAAAAACAAGAGATATTAGTACCAGAAATTATATTCATAATTTAATTTAATCCTTAAATTTATGAAATAAAATTTTTTAGTCCCTAATTATTTTAACCCGTAAAATTATAAACACCTATTAACTTAGTCCTTGGAATTATGATAAAAAGAATTGGATTCTTAAAATTATATAAGAAAAATCAGTCTCTTGGCTAATTTTTATTAATTTGTCTAACAAAATTTTAGATGTCATAAATTAAATGTTAACGTGATACTTACATAACCATTCATTTCATTAAACAACGGAGTTTTGTTTAAAAATTTAAAAACAAAATAAACCATGAAGTGAAAGAGAAAACTCAATCTAATTAGCACATTCCATGTTAGACCTTTTTCTAAAAAAAATTAAAATAATTATTTTGATAAATTTAATTCTTACGAGAATTTTTTTTAACTGTTTCATTCTTAGAATAAAGAAGAAGAAAATATTTTGACTCAATAGCTCTAATTTTCGCTTCTAAATATTTTAAGACACAATAAAAAACAAAGTTATGTGATTTTTAAAATAGGTTAAATTTTTTTAAAAGAAATATATGTTTTTATTATACAACGAACTTGAAAGCGAAAAAACAAACACACACTTAGGACAACCAAGTCCAAGAGAATCTATCTTCACAAGAGGAGGGGTTTAAAATTTTGGAATTTTTTTTTATATTTAAAATATATTTAATTGTTTTATACGTAAATCAACACACACAAAAATATTTTTTTCCCATATTTTTTTAAAAATCACAAAATAATAAATAAAAATAGAACAATTAATATAATATTTTATTTTTCATATTTAATTGTGTCGTTATTATTATTATTATTATTATTATTATTATTATTATTTCTTTACAGTATACCTAAGGAGAGGCTGAGCTAATACGACTAGTTGCTCTCGTATTCTTATCCTAAGAACTCAATGTCAAGCTCCTAATATAAAGGCAATATATCTCGTCTTTTTTAAAAAAAAAAATAAGTGTCGCACTTAATAAATTTAATATAATAACATTTTTTATTTATATTTTTTATTTTTAGGTGTTTAAATTTAATTTTAAATTTTAATGTTAATGATTTTTTGTAAAAAGAAAGAAAAAAATATTTTTTAATTATACTTTATTTATTTTATTAAACTCAAAGTACAATACATAAAAAAAAGAAAGAAAAAGCAATAGGGCTCAAAAGTTCCGTATTTGGAGGAATCACGTCGGGAAAGAGATGGGTGTTCAAAAGGGATGAGAGACAGTTAAAATAAAACGTCAGATTTATTCAATGCGTTGCCTTCTTTATGAAATAGGATATTCACAATAACAAATACATTAAAATATTTAGTGAATAAAATTAATGTCCATATACTTTGGAGCCAGCGAAGGCCCACTCATTACTATTCAGATTCAAAATCACGCCAACTAACCCAATTAATTATTTCAAGATTCTTTTAGAGGATAAAATATCTTTTGGGCCACCAATAAGGTGGGAGACTTCTTGGACCTGTCTCTAATCATTTATCAACACTTGAACTACCCACGTATTTTCACTTTTAATTTTATTTTTATTTTTTTGTCAATGTTATATTTTATTTTTGTAAAATATAGTTTGATTTAAAAAAATTTAGATAAAAAATTAAACTAATAAGTCTAAACAGTTAAATCATTGGTTAACAAATTAGAAATTTTAAAATTAATAAATATATATTATACAATATTATATTAAAAATAGAATAAATTATTATTATACAAGTTTATAGTAATAATATGTTATTTTTATATTTATTTAAACAAGTTTGACTTGTCAAAGATAAAGACATTTTAAGTGACCTGAATATTCAGATTAAAATATACCTTGAAAATGACTGCAAGTTTGCAATAGATTCCATTAGTTGAAAACTCCATGATTATATATCTATTGAGGAGCCAATAATGTTGAGCACAACCCGGGGGAACACTCCTATTGTTACGTGTGTCTTTTGTTTCGTGTTAGAGTGATTCAAGTGTGAACACGGGCATACAAGATTAGGTTTATTCTTTTTTCAACATGCATGCGATGTTTTGATTTCAATCATATTTCAGTTTCAAAATTAATTTTAGACATAGGTAGGTGTTTCAACTAAGTAAATTTATGGTAGATAGTAATATTAAGTTATAATTTTATACTTTAGATAAATATATTTAAATATAAACCACAATTAAATTTATAAAATTGAATTATAAACAATAACCAAAACTTACATATTATATATTTTAGTTTTCTAAAAAATGAAGTGATGCATAAAATAAAAAAAATATTTATATAATATTAATTTAAATTACTTTTTTTATAATTAAATTTTAATTAGTAGCAAATATACTGTTATTTTTACACTTTTCATATCTTTTAAAGCATGTAATATGTAATATATATAAACATCCCAATCCTTGAATGAGAATGCTACATAGTTACATGCATCAATTATTAAGTGTTCTTCGCAATAACAATTTTATCTTGGTATTTGTTCTTAGATTCACGATATAATGTTTAACATATTTGATTCTATTTTTTATGTTACTTATAAAAAAAATAAATATTTAATTTATTAAAATGAATAAAAACTAGTTATAGTATTAAATGGTCATATATGAAAATATAATTTTATCGTCATATTTTGTTAGTTAGATTTGCTTATATTAATAATTATATAAAATATTATTTATCAAACAATATAATAACATATTATCATATTTCAATGCAATTATTTTCTCAGTTAATATGTTAAAATAAAATTATTAAATTAAAAATAATAACAAAATTATCAAGCATGTGAATCAATCAATTTTTCAGCTTAATTTATAATTTATAATTTATAATTTTAATCTCAATAAAAATCTAAATATTTATAATTTATTTTCAGTATTATTGAATATAATAAATATTTATTATGAATAATTATAATTAAAGTTATTAAACTTGAAAATTTAAACTAAAGAAATGAAAACTCTCGAGTTGAATCAAGTTAATTCGAGTTTAACAAAACATAAATTTATGAGTTAAACTCATTTTAAATACTTAAACTAATAAAATTTTACAAGTTAAAACTTAGTTTTAACAACAATGATTATAACATTCACTCTTCTTAAATTTATTAAAATTTAATAAATTTGCATATTTATTTTGAGTTAATAAATTTAAATTTTAACTTAATTAATAATATTCGTCCATAATATGATAATAAGAAGGTACTTTTAGTTAGTGTTTTAAAAATATTATTTAATAAACCAGAAGTGTTATTTAAAATAAAGTAAATATTAAGTATTTTCTATTTCTTTAATTGTATCGATCTTATATTATAAATTCTTGATCATTTACTGTGATAATCAAATGAATAATTTTAAACTTTATTATTTTCTGTTTATATATATACTTTAAAAAATAAAAATGATATAGCAAAATTCTAATTGAATAAAAACGGGTAACGATCAACAGTAACGTCAGGAAAAAGTGGCCAAGTGGAGGCCCCACTGAGAAACTTCCTTATGAATGTAACCGAAATAAGCGAAACCATCCAATTCCAACCCTTTACGCCACCGTTACTACCTCTCACCTAATTATCGTTTATTTAATGTAATCCTCTTTCGCTCTTTCCTTCACTAACATCACTACACTCATCACTCATGGAATCTCTTCCAACACTCCTTTTTCTCATAGCCCTCGCAACCTTCGTCGCCGGTAGCCGCGACCTCGCCGGAGACTTTCTCCGGTTGCCATCCTATCCTGATGACGATGACAACCTTTCCGGTACCAGGTGGGCCGTCCTACTCGCCGGTTCCAATGGTTACTGGAATTACAGACATCAGGTCTGTTTCTTTTCCTTTTGATTTCAACTTGATTGTTATTAATATTATAATGATTAGCATCATCTAAGATTTTCAACTAGTCTCTTCCTTTGGTGGTGTATGAAAACACGATGGAACCAAGTGAGACGTGCACATAGTAGTAGCATCCTCGTGTTTCAGTAGTTCAGCTTGGCCAAGAACTTATTGTTGAATCCTTCTTCTGTTCTCTTTCAATAGGCCAACCTTAGCTGAATACCTGTTCACTTTCAATTTAACGTTGAAAGAAGGAGCGTAAGTCTCACCCTCATGCTATGAGTTTGGCTGGTTAAATACTCGATTAAATTTATTTATTTAGTTTTAAAAATAAAATTAAACTTTAATTTGGAATCAATTATTTAAATAAATTCAATTTAAATTTTATAAGCTTAAAATTAATATTTTAAAAATATCTTATATATATAATTTTAAGAAATTTTTAAAAATAAATAATCAACATTTATTTTAAATAAATTCACTATTTTCATAGTAAAAGATTTTATTTTTAATTTTAAGACATCTTTATGTAAATAAAATTATATTTTATTATTTTTTTGTTTTACTTTTTAATATAAAAATAAATGCTAAATTAATAAATAAAATTTTATTCAAAGTTTTTGAAAAACAAAGAATTTATAAATAAGCTAATAAGTTAACTTTGATAGTCTGTTTAGATGAGCTGAAATTGAGTGGAAAGAAAAAAAAAAGTAAAGAAGATATGATGTTTAGATGAGTGGAAATAATAATAATAATAATAATAATAATAATAATAATAATAATAATAATAATTTTTCTTATTTAGTGAATAAAAAATAATTAAACATATTAAAATAATTTAAAATTTTTATTAAAATATTTTTAATAAAATTTATTTTTAAAGTTTTAATATTTTTATATCATATAAATATTTTTTAAAAGTAAAAAATATATTAAAAAAAACTCAAAATTTCCTAACAAAACTTGTTTTCTTCCTCCCTTCTCTTTCTTAGTTTTCTCCAGCAGATTGGGAAGGTTATTTTTTTAGGTCTCAACAAAAAAAATATAAAATAAAAATGAGTAAAAAAATTTACTGTAGCAAATAATGTAATTCATGTATTATTTTTAGTCATTTTTAATTCTAAAATATATACATGACAAATTGTGAGAAAGAATAGTTCCATATATATACATGACAAACCATGAGAAAGACTAGTTCTTTCACTTTCAACGTAGTAAAATTTTATTTATAACCGTATTCTATTGTTTAAATAAATATAAATAAATATTATTATATCTTTTCTGTCCATTAAACTAACCTTCATTGTTTTTTTTAAAAAAAACGGATATTACCCTATTTTTAATGTAGGGAGCATATACGTTGTATTCTTGAAAATAACGAGTAAGGGATTCATGGAAGTAGATGTAGTTTTTCAATCAAGAAAGGTACAAGTGTAATTAGCGATAACTACAAAGCATGTCAATGTAATTATAGCTAAAACATATAATTGGTCCCATGCATAACACTCAACTTCAATTTGGTATCCGCCTTCGTAGTCAACTTTTCACTGAGATTGACATGGAGGTACTGTAAGGTAGAAAGATTAATTTGAAAATGATTGTCACATTTAAATACCCAAATTATGATAACTTTTACCCTCTATGCATGATGTACCATCATCCATCATGCATAACATTCATTTTCAAGTTTTATTACTCCCTCCACCAGAAAGAATTATGACAGCAAGTCAGCAACAGACTTGGAGGGGCCAAATTGAAAAAAAGAAAAATTGTACATTGATGGTCTAGTTTGATTTTATTTTATTTTTTCTTATAGGGACCACGTTGAGAGTATCACATACAGGGAGCAAAAATAAATTATAACCTTAATGATTTAGTTTATTATTTTCCATATTTTTTAATTGTTTAGTTTTAATATTTAGTCTTTGTTCTTTCATCAGGCTGATGTTTGCCATGCGTATCAAATACTGAGGAAAGGTGGCCTGAAAGATGAAAATATTATTGTTTTTATGTATGATGACATTGCTTTCAATGAGGAGAACCCAAGGCCTGGAGTCATCATTAACAAACCAGATGGGGATGATGTTTATGAAGGAGTTCCTAAGGTAAGTTATGTTAGCTTTTTACGATCGATCCCATATCTAATTGCTATTTCAAGTTTTATAGATTCCTAAGATGGACTGTTTTATGGCAGGATTACACTGGCGAAGATGTTACTGCTGATAACTTTTATGCGGTTTTACTTGGAAATAAGTCAGCACTTACAGGTGGCAGTGGGAAGGTTGTGGAAAGTGGTCCAGATGATCATATATTTGTTTACTACACTGATCATGGAGGTCCAGGGGTGCTCGGTTAGTAGTTCTCAATTCATTCACAGAAACTTTTAATGAAAGTCATGGATTGTAGGCCTTGCTTGAGGTTATTACTGTCAAATGCTGTGTTTACTGTTGTTTGGTTGATTGTGTGTTTACTTGCTTGATTATGGTTGAGTAGAATGAAACCTCTAAATATTTCAGTGTCAGCTTTGATTTCCTCAACATGGAATTTATGTTCTGCAGTGCTTTATAGTTCTGCATAATAAAGTGAAAAATGGAAACAGATAAATGGTTTATCTGGAATTCTGGATAGAGTGAAATGTTTCAAAATTACATTCTGTTTACTGGATTTATTTTTATCTCTAATAACTTTTTTGTGATCTGTATATGGTCTTCAGTGGTTTTGCTTTCCAATTTGTCTTCACCATTATTTCTTCTATTAAAATTTCTATTGGACCATTGCATGACAAAGTGTTGTTTTTCCTACCGATAATATCTGCTTCTTTCTGTTTCTTACTTTATGGACGTGGAAATGGATTTCAGGGATGCCTGCTGGTCCTTACTTGTATGCATCTGATCTGAATGAAGTCTTGAAGAAAAAACATGCTTCTGGAACGTATAAAAGCCTTGTGAGTTACTAGTAGTTATTTTTTCTTAATCTTTTTATCAATCCCTGTTTGGACTGTAATAATATCTTGTTTGGATTTAATTATTTCTGGATTAATAATTTTTTCCCCTTAAAAGCTCTCTCACAAAACTTTTCTCTACAAGAGTATAAGCTATTTTGAACACAAATTGAACTAATTTGAGCACACGTTAATATGCTGTCTAAATCTTTGGATTTTGCAGGTATTTTATCTAGAGGCATGTGAATCTGGTAGTATCTTTGAAGGTCTTCTTCCTGAAAATATCAATATTTATGCAACAACAGCTTCAAATGCAGAAGAAAGCAGTTGGGGAACATATTGCCCGGGGGAGTACCGTAGTCCTCCCCCAGAATATACAACTTGCTTGGGTGACCTGTACAGTGTTGCTTGGATGGAAGACAGGTAACTGCGTAATAAGGAGACATAATTAAATCATAAATGAATACTTATGCTCATGAGTCCTTGACCCATACAATCATCACGGAGTAGTTCAATGTGTGTGACTACTGTGTCTGTATACCAATTGTACTTTGGAATGTTTTTTATGATAATATTATTTTCATTTATTTATTGTTCCATTTACTCCTTTTTGATGGTTAGATCAGAATAATTTTCTTTTAAGTAATTCTGTAAAATTTTGTAGGGGCTAATTTGATTTTATTTTTACTTGTGAGCAGTGACATACACAATTTGCGAACAGAAACTTTGCACCAACAATATAAATTGGTAAGTTCTCATTGCTAACTTGATTCAACTTTTTTTAACAAGCGGATATAAATTGAAGAGTATAACACAATACTTTGATTGCTTAGCACCAAGTGAGAAATTTTTACCTGTTTTCATTCAATTCTTGGTCTAATTTTATGAATCAAACTTTGGTAGATGTGTTAAGAGTTGTGTGACTGATGCCTTCTTTACTCTTGTACTTACAGGTTAAAGAGAGGACTATTGGTGGAACTTTTTACTTTGGCTCTCACGTGATGCAGTATGGTGATATTGGGCTTAGCAGTGATGCTCTCTTTGCATATATGGGTACAAATCCTGCTAATGATAATTTTACCTTTGTGGATGAAAACTCCTTGAGGTCCTCACCTTCAAAAGCAGTCAATCAAAGGGATGCTGATCTCATCCATTTTTGGGATAAGGTATCCTATGTGTGCAATATTTATGTTATGAATTAATTGGTCGTTCATGTTCACATCATGATTTGGCCTTCGAGTTTAATATAGTTGGTATAAACATTGGCCTTGAATCTTTGGCACTAAATGCTAAAAGTACAAGAAAATAAAGTTTGTTATCTGATTACATATTCCATTTAGTGAGTCATCAAATTTTGCGTATTATATTTTATCTTCTTGACTTCACTGTTTATTGCCAGTTCCGCAAAGCTCCTGAGGGTTCACCCAGGAAAAGTGCAGCTCAGAAACAAGTTCTGGAAGCAATGTTTCACAGAACACACATAGACGACAGTGTGAAACTTATTGGGAAGCTTTTATTTGGATTTGGAAAGGGTCCAGAAGTACTCAATGCTGTTAGACCGGCTGGATTGGCACTTGTTGATGACTGGGACTGCTTGAAAACCATGGTATAGCACTTGAAACACCGATGAAGTTGTGCTTTGTGATGGGTTCTAATTTCATAAATAACCTTTTGCATATGACCTTCCATTGCTTTCTTGTTTGATGGATAACTGATTATTTAAATACTTATTTAATAAGTTATTTTTTAAAACAATAATTTATGTCTTAAATTTAATGATGAAATTTATTAGGATAAGCTCAAAACAACTTATTTTGATAATCTATACCAATAAATTTATTAAAATAAGTTGAAAACATTCAACAGCTTGGGAGTGTCCTAAGCTGTTTTTCACAGTCCTCATAAACTCTTCCGGCCAAACTCTAATTCTCTAATTTGCATATTTACATTATGAGATTTGCACCTTTTACACGGAATTGACACTCTTTTCTTGATTACTACAGCATCTTCCAGTTCACTTTGGTTTATGAGAAAATACTGCAAACCTTAATCTATTTTTAATGCAGGTAAGGACTTTTGAGACACATTGTGGATCCTTGTCTCAGTATGGGATGAAACATATGAGGTCCTTTGCGAACATCTGCAATGCAGGAATAAAGAATGAGCAAATGGCTGAGGCCTCGGCACAAGCTTGTCTCAGCATTCCTTCCAATCCCTGGAGTTCTCTTCGAAGGGGTTTCAGTGCATAATTCCTGAAATGTGCACTATTAAAGACTAGAGTATGATTGTTGTTACATTATGTTTTATGGCTTGTATATAAGTGGTGTGCACTGCTCATACTATTTTGTCCCTCCTTTGTGAATACAATTGGGACATTCCTAGGATGGGAAAATGGTCTTTACATCGTAGATTCCCACACAGATGCAGCAACTACGTGTATATAATCAATTTATGATGTTGTATCGTTGCAAATTGCAAGAAAAACAAGCGTGATGACATTTACGGCATAAGGAGGGATAAAGGACCAATACCTTTGGAATGCTCAATATGACAAGGGCGCCAGGTCATGCATTTGTATGCTAATGCATAGTAATAATGTGTACTTTTATTCTGTAGGCTATAGGTAGATTGGGTTTTCCCTTGTCAGTTTGCAACAGAATTGGCAACCTCTGTAGAATTATTTTAGAAGCAGCACTATTTGTAACAATTATTGTTTAATATTAAAGTTGTTATTGTATTTATTCTTGTAAAATATTGGGATAAACTAAATAATACATTGTTACTTTTGTAAAAGAATAATTATATGACTAGTTTATTAAGAGTTGTGACTATTTGAGTGTTTTTGTCATTTGGAGTGGTGGATAGCTGTTATCTGAAGGACAAATTTAATCATCTCATCAAATTTAAGTAAGAATAATTTTTTGAAAAAAATTCTTTTAAAATGAGTTTGTTTCTAAAGTACGAAACTAAAGGATTTTTAGTTTTAATTCTTTTAGAGAATTTCTTACTTTTTTTATTTAATGAAAAAAAATTCACTTAGAGAATTGTTCTCCTCATGTGATAACTATTTTACGAAAGAAGTGAATCACATGTTTTTGACTACATATCTCGAAGCATACTGCTTCTATTAAAGAATGTTGTAATCATTTTCATGTGGAGAGTTTCTTTTATGGGCAAATGTGCAACATAATACAATGGATTAAACGTTCTCTCCTAACATTTGGCATTACTTAAAAAATAGGGTAAATAAAGAAAATCATATGCACTTGCACTCATCTAACAGTAGGATCTCATTTTCAATGTTAGATCTCAAAAGTTAAACAGGTGTGCGCATTTAATAGTCAAATGACTACGTCAAACTAAATTACAAGAATACAAAACAATCAACCATTTACATTTCTATGGACAAACGGGAAGTTAAAACAATTCCTCCTCAAGATAAAAAAATTGGGGATATATTTAGAAATTGAAAGATGAGACATAAAACAAAAGAAAAAAGCAGGGGAAGGAAATTTGATTTTTTTTTAATGTTAGTAAAATGACTAAGTAAAATTATTTAAAAATACGCAACAATTACTTAGTTATTAATAATTTTATAACATCTCCAAAACATGACTTTAGCTTATTTAAAATATCACATGAATTGAATTTCTAAAAAATCAATCTAGATCTATTTAAAATCTATTTGTATAGATTAAATTTTTGAATTAATTCATTTGAATTTTTCTTAAAATTGGTTTAAATTTGATTTTAAAATTTAGATTCGATTTAAAACTAGTTTTAAATCGAATAAAAATATACTATAAATATTTTTTATGCTATTATTAAATTATTATATTAAAAATATTAAAATTTTATAATAACTAATATAAAAATTATATTTACATATATTTTAATCTATTGATAATATATTTTTTCTTATTTTTATATTTTATTAAATTAATATATATTTGTATATATATTTTATGTTTTATCATTTGTTCACCACATAATCTAATTATATGGATTAAATTTTAAACTATTTTATTTTATTTTTGTAATCAAATTTAAAAGTAGTTTTAAAATTTAAATTTAGTTTAAAATTAATTTTAAATTTAATTTTTGTTGAAATTTAGTTTCATATTAAATTATTTTTAAATTTAATTTAAAATTATATTTTATGTAATTTTTATTTTTGAAATAAATATTATACGTTAATAATTTTATAAAATTTTATTTTATAATTTTTAGAAGTTACTTTAAAAATACAAACAAGTTTACGTGTATATTTAATAAATTATATTTAAAATGATTGGATTTGTATTATTTTAAATACATATTATTTATTATTATAAAATTAAATTAGAGTAATTTTTAAATTATTATTTAAAATAATTTTATTATGTTACACGTAGTTTATTATATTTAAAAGACTTTGAATGACATAATTAAAACTTGACTTTAACGATGCAGATTTTATAAAAAAAATTATTTAATATATAAGTTAACCTTAATTTAAATATGATATGGATAAGATTATTATCCCCAAACACGTGGTTTTTGTTATTTTAAGCCCAACATGACGTGAATTAATTATGTAAATTAAGGCACTAAAAAATCAATATAGGATCCTCAATTATTTCTAATTCCCAGTGAACTCAAGCTTGAAGTAAAATTCTATGCCGAGAATGAGATTAGGACCCGTTGAAAAGATTACATAGAGGAGAGACTAAAACCGGTTTTGATAGAATTAAATCCAGTTTTATAAAATAAAATCTAAATTATGTCCAGACCAAAAATAAAGTGGACAGAGTATCTTATTTTTTTTAAAATCTGAATTTTTTAATCTAGTTTAGTTTAGGTGATAAATTGGATCTTTGTATTTGGATTTTTTGCCCACCCCTAATAACACATAAATCTAAAGGACTCCAGCACCATATCACTGACATGAAATACATTTTCATTCTTGTTCTTTTTTTTCCCAATCAATTGCATGCAGAGCAATATAGATACAATGGAATGATGGTAAACAAATTGGCAAGTGTCCAAATTGTTTGCAGTAATAAAATAGAATTTATTGTTCATTGGGATTAATGTTAAGTACCAAATCACAAGAATATTACTAGTTAGGTCGTAAAACAGAGTATGAACTTTAAAATAGAAATTTAGACAATATGCAGAATGTAAAAATGAAATGTAAGTGCTGAAAAAATAAATTAACAATAAGAGTAAAATTCATATGGAAGGGATTGACTATAAATGAAACTACAATGTAGAATGTAACTAAATAAGGGAATGAAAATGAGTTATAAATTAATTAAGAAGTGAGTTGAGTTCAGAATTTCTTAATCCTTTATCATTGTTTAAAAGTATATATAACCCATAATACAATCTAATCTAATGGCTAAATTCTCTATACTATCTAATACCAAGTTCTTGGTTGATTGGTTCTAAATCAGTTTTAGATTCTCAATTACTTAAGTAACCAAGAAGATGATCAGTATTATATTTAGAAATCAACAAAACCACATCACTATAAATTTTTATTCCTAAATAATCCATAATGAGCAATTTAATTCCAAACCAAGAAAGGTCACAACTTTCTAGTTATAAACTCCTTTTCATCATTCCTGAATACAAAGAACAGGGAAGCCTTAAGCTCAAAATTAAATATGTTAGATTGCAGCTTATATTTGAGTTATAATCATTGTTCAATTTATTGCAATTGATAAAAGATTAAATTCATCCTTTCTCAATCCCAATAAAATTAACAAGACATGACAAAAATAAAGAATAAAAATTTGAAATATATTGCAAAAATAAACTTCATGTTCAACTTAAAGGAAATTACAAGGAAAACAAACTGTAGGACATCACTTTTCCATTGGAAAACAAAGGGAATGGAGGGATATAACTCTACTTCTTATCAAAATCCCATACAAAAGAAAAAAGAAAAAAGAATGGATAATTACGTAAGACTATGAAAAACCTAAAATTCTGTGTCTAAAAGGTGTAATAAAAGACGCCGCCTTTAGTAGAAAATTTTGTTTTTATACGCTCGGGCTCATGTCCCCACAATCATGTGCACATAAATGTCTTGCATCAATTCAATTTCTTCTCTTTAAATTCAATTGCAATTTCTCTTCTAAATCCTTGAAAAATCAATTGTCAACTATTAATAATTGAACAATTCATTACATTCTTAGTAATAGCATTTTTTCAATAAATATTTCAATTAATTTGCATTAACTTAAATTATTTATGCAATGAATATGTATTATAAGTATTCAATTTACTATATGAGTCAATAAAGCATACCAAAATCATGAGTACTGATTTAATGTTAGATTTTTGAACACTCTACAGCCTGAAATCTAACTTCAAACAAATTATGATGAAAAGTAGAAGTTAAAACTTTAGCCAGAACATGGTATATATAATCAATCAGATTTAGTTGTAGATCTCAAAACTATTATCAAAAGTTTTATAAATCTAGAAAAATATCAGATGTTTCCGGCATGTATGTGGCATGGAATTCAATTCCAGGACCCCCCCCCCCCCCACCCCCAAATCCTAGGATCACTGCATTCAAAGGAAGTTTTAAAACTTGTTGTCATACTACAGAAATATCAAATATCAAATAACTAATTCACTCATTTCAATAAGTTAAAACAATTGATCAACAACAACTGATATTATTAAAAAAAAGGATATGCAAATCAGAGAGAACAAAACAGATTGACTAGAGATTAAAGGGAAAGAGTAAAACCCGATTAAGCACACAGTAGTAAGAGCATGAGTAAAAAAATTAACAAGAACTTTTAGGTACACTATTATGTATGGTCATGAGTGTTTCAACTATACGATCCTCTTAAAAAGGGTCTTTTATATATGTTTCAATATTATTTGACCATCTAATTTTATTATAAAACTTATTCATGACTTCAATTATTAAGCAAACAGAATAGAAAATAGCTGAATATATATCAGACTAGAAAAACATGTTTTTTACATCTGCAAGATACATTAAGACACAATTTAGAGAAAACATGGATAAGGAACAAGTGAGGAAGGGAGTTACGAGTTTCACTACAACGCCAAGAATCCGATACCAACCAACAGGAAGATCACACAAAACTTACGAAATCACAAGGCTCAAAAATTAAGAAAGAATTGCATTCAGAAAGTGAAAAACTACATAGAAAGTTGACTTTTTTCTCTCTAATCCAAACCAAACTGAACCAATGTTGATCGGATTGGGTGGTCAGAAATCCGATTAAAAAATTAAAAACCAAATCTATTTAAAAATAAATAAAAATAACAGAGAAATAAAAACGTTAAAATGTGATGTGATTTCATCTCCAGGCTTAAGTCACAAATCAACTGAACAAAGTCAAAACCAACCCAAATAGTCAAATACCCAATAGTCCAACAAACACCAAATTATACAAGATAAACTAAATTGTCCAAAATGAAATAAAAGTCCTTTGTCCAGGCATAAATCAACTGAATTGTCCTCCATTGAGCACTATTCTCTTCATTCTTCGCGCATTCTCCTCAACCTACAAATGATATAATTATCAAGTGAAAGTAAAAGTAAGAAGTTTAGTTTAATTGCCTAAAACAAAAATTAATAAATTGAAAATCAATTCATAACCTCAAGACACATAACCTTAACAAATTTACCAAAAATGGGTATCATAAAACAACATTCAACCAATAATCAATGTAATTTTATTTTATTTTTTAAAATAAACAATGCATATATTAGACAGCAATAAAAACAGAATGGTGGAGGAGGCCTCGAGGAAACACAAACAGAAACAGAACTGCAGAGGGGGTGCTAATGATGAATAATATCACATTCACTCAAACAGAATGGTTGGACTTTTCAAAGGATGTTGTTGACTTAGTTAAGAAGGATCTTGAAGTCAAGAAGGCAGCTGTGGACAAAGTTAAATGGGTATCATCTTTTGTTTGATTTTTTAAGTCTGCATAAGGTGGACCTGAAAACTGGATTGCAACTACCTATAGCTTTGATTGATGAGGCAGGGATACCACCAAAGACTTCAGAAAGAAATCTGTAACAACAAAGTGTGATTGGAATGATTCTATTATTCTGTTATTAGAGAAATGAATAAAAGGCAATGTACACTGGTGTAAATTGCTCATATATCTACAGAGATATTGTGCCGAGGGAGGAAAGCCCAAACCACTAAAACCATAAAAGAAAAGAATTACAATATAACCCAAAGCAAGATATGTTTTTCTATCCATACACTCTAATAATAGGGAGCAGGACCCCAAAGTTCAGTAAAAAACCAATTCAAAGGGTGTGGAATAAACTGAATTTGAAGGGGAGTTGGTGAGATTTTCCAAGACAACAATAAGAACAAAAATCTGCTTACCTTTCTTATTTGAGGAGGACAATGGACCTCTTGAAAGCGTCTCAGACACCTGGACGAGCTTCTAGCATCACTTTCAACTAGAGATGATGGCTTCTAGCATTTTCAAGTGAAAGAGAAATTTTCTTTCAAGCACTCAAACTTGTCAATGATAGCTTTGTGCTGTGAATTGTGTAATCTTGCAACAATGCAAATTTATCAGAATAACAACAATAACAAGAACTATGGATCAAATTTATAACACAAGAATAACAAACTAACAATAAAAACTATGGATGAAAATTTAGTAAAAGTTAAATACATAGTTATTTGGAATAAACAATTCACATTTTCATCCGTATCTGTTGGATAAGCTTCACCACTGTCAAATTTTGATTACTCACGATCCGGAGTTTGATTATAAAAAAGGTGAAACTATAAAAATGTGAGTTGTTCATTCAAAAAAATAACTTTGTATTTAATTTCTACTAAATTATAATTCATAGTTCTTGTTATTAATTTGTTATTCTTGTTCCTATAATAAATTTGCATTATTACAAGATCGTACAGATCACGGCACAAAGCCATCACACTTGAAGTTTTCTCATTCACTTGGAAATGCTAGAAGCCATTAGAGAGTGAGGAGTGCTGGAGGAGGTCGCAATTGTTTTCAAGCATGGAACTGAAAGAGGAGGTTGCAGGGACGGAGCATGTGAGTAGGTTACAATAAGCTTCGATTTCGGTGGTCTATCATTTATAAAATATAAGGTTATTAATTAGGGGGTAAAAAGGTTATTTTAGATATTAACATGGATAAAATTAGAAAAAAAAAATGCAGATCCAACCTTATAAGTCATATGCTATTTTATCAGCTTATTAAATCAAACTTTTCAAGTTTATAGCTTTTCCAAAAAAAAAAACAAAAAACAAAAAACTAAATGCCTTTAATAACTTCTTTTCGGTGAAGTAAACTAGTTGACTAACTTATAAGTTACTCAATTATCTTATTCAACACATGTTAGTGAGATAAATTTGTTTATCAAATATTTCAATTTTAATTAAATAAACTTATAAATCAATCAAATAAGTTATAAATTAACTGACATAATGGGTGATGGTTTGATGATACAAGAGGGAAGTTCGGTAAAAGCAACAGGAAGAATTGCTCAGATACCAGTAAGTGAGGCTTATTTGGGTCGTGTTATAAATGCCTTGGCTAAACCTATTGACGGTCGAGGAGAAATTTCAGCTTCGGAATCTCGATTAATCGAATCTCCCGCTCCCGATATTATTTCGAGACGTTCCGTATATGAGCCTCTTCAAACAGGACTTATTGCTATTGATTCGATGATCCCCATAGGTCGTGGCCAACGAGAATTAATTATTGGAGATAGACAAACGGGTAAAACAACAGTAGCTACAGATACAATTCTCAATCAACAGGGACAAAATGTAATATGTGTTTATGTAGCTGTTGGCATATTTAACTACTTTATCATAATTTAAAATCTGTAATTGTATATATTTTCAAATAATTATCATATTTCATATTTTACATTATTTTGAATAGTTTAGGCATGAGCGTTATATTGTAGAAACTAATAAGGTAAAATTATAAAACAATAATTTTTAATACACACATTTAGAAAGAAAATAGTTTTTAATTATAGAAGTAAATAAAATATTAAAATAAAATGTATCTATTTGATATTATTAATCTAATTTATTTGTACTTTTTTTAGCATGTGCGTTTTCGGTATAAGTTAAAGTACATTAAATATACACATTTTAATTCCTTAAAAATTAATATTTAATGAGTTTTTGTTTTAAGTATAATAATTTTTTAATAAAATATATTATTTTCTTAACCTATAAAATTAACGTATAAAATATAAATTTGTTAATACGCTTTGTCTATGATAAAAATAAAAATAAATTTTTTCTTTATAACAAAGTTTAAAATTTATATTATAGATTTTCATGTCAAAGCATATAATGAAATGTTCATCATAAAATGTGAATTAATTATTTCTAAATTAATAAGACTCTTACATTATGCCTTAACATTTAATATTTATTCATAAATAAATTGTTGATTTTCACTAAACTATATTTTATCTTATACTTTATTAAAAATTTATAATAATTTATTTAATATTAAATTTAATAAATTAACTAAAATATACTGATAATTTTTTTAAAAAATTATACTATTATTCAATAAAAAATTATTAACATTTTCAATAATCATTTCAAAGGTCATACTTAAGGTGACTTTTAATTAGGTGTTAGTGTAAAAAATTTTACATTGATAATATACTAAAATTAAATTCTAAATTTTAAATCATATCATTTAATCTATTTTATATTTTTAATTTAATTTTTCATATAAAATTTAAATAGTATGCTAGCCTAGTATTCTGAAAAATTATATTTAATAAGATAGGAGAGTGCCTGTTTAGAAAAGGATCAACCTTCTGAAAAGTAAAAATACAAAAAAAATTTAATAAAAATTGCTTTGAAAAATCTGTTGTTCCTGAAACGTGAAACAAAGAAACTTGAGTGTTGAGGTTTTCTAATATAAAAGTGATAAAGAGAGAATTTTAACAGGATGGATGTCGATGATTAAAATAGAAAAAAAAAGTGACCGTAAATGTTGGATAAAGATATAATATCACAAAAAAGGATAAACTTTTAGAGTAATGTTAATAATGTATATCTCTTTAACATACTCTTAATTATTCATTATAATTTATTAAAATTTTAAAATTATAAAAGTTATATAAATTAAATTCTTAAATTAGTATTTTTTTTTCTTGTACTTTTATAAATTTTAATAGATTTTAATGAATAGTTAGCGGTGTATGCATTAAAAATAGTTTATTGTTGACATTTTTCAAACTTTTACTCTACGTTATATTAAAACAGTTGTTTGAGATAAATAAAATTAAATAAAAATTTATTTATTTTTATCAAAATTAATATAATTTGTTTTAAAAATTATTTACATTTTTACTTTTTGACATATATTTATATATATATATATAGTTTAAATTTTTTTTATGTATATAAAATATTAACTTATATTTTTTTCAATTTTGTACAATTGGCTTATATTTTTAAATAAAAAATTATAATTAAAAATATAAAAAACTTAAAATAATATTTTTATAAAACTTTTAACAATATATACTTTTCTTAACAGTTTGTTATATATTTTTATAAAAAAAATATTTATATTAAAATAATTTTATTAAAAATGTTTATATAATTTTTTTATAAAATTATATTTTATTAAATAATTATTTTTTGTAAAATATTTTAAAGGATATAAAATATGTCTAATAAGGTAATAAGAAAAAAAAGGTTATCCCAATGCTTTCTAATTCTTTACCCTTAAAAAATAATTTAATTTATACTATTTAATAAATATAAAAATAAAATAAAATATAATAAATTATGGTATTCTTTCATCTTATCTAACCAGTTGAATTCCAAAATATATAAAAACTAAAACGTTTGTAAAATAAAATTTTAAGATATACTACACACTAATAATATAATAGTGTTTCGAACGCTGTTTTTAAGATATGTTTTTTTTTTAAATAATTAAATATTTTATAAAATTTACTAAAATATAAGCTAATTTAAATAAAAACATTGATAAAATTTACTTAATAAAAACGTCTATAAAATACTGTATCGGCAACATTGCTTGTTATTATAATCAACTTATGTACCGAAAATATAATAAACAAAAGACACGATATCAGATCAGTGATTGCAGAACATTATGGAAGACTGAAGATAAACAAAATCAAACATTATTCTGGTTTAGTATGTAAAACTAACCAATATCAGGTTAACTAACCCTAGTTACCTATACCCATCATTTCTGAGCGCGAGAATGAACAAATCTGAAAGTAAAATAAAACAAAACAATTTTTTTAAAAAAAAGAGTAATTAATAATCGGGATCTGACGGCTCTGCGGATTCCGTTAATATGAGTAACGTCGTTAGACAAATATAACGGCAGAAGGGGCTAGCATAAACGACGTAACGGGTTTCCATGTATGGTTCAAGCGAGGGTAAACGAGAGCCGTCAGAGAAGTGATCTACGGGCAGCAATTATCGAAGTGTGACAGAATATGTATATAAACAGAGCATTTCGTTCTATCACACGAACAAAGAAGAAGAAGCTCTCTGTACCCTTCTTCCCTCTTTTTAATTATTTTCTGAGAATTTTCCATTCCTTTCCACCATTTTCTGTTAAGCCAAACTGTGGAACCAAATTTTGATTAGTGAACGGTGAATGTTGAGGATCTGCAACTTTTTAAACATTGAATAAGGTTTCGTTTACACGACTTCAATTTTGATTTTTTATTGTTGTTTTTTTCGTATTTTCTTTCTGGACGTGAAGTAGAATCGAATCGCTAATCTCGACTTTGTTTTTGGTTCGTTTTCTATTTGCAGGTGTATGTTAGCGGAGGATTTGACAGAATTTGTCAGAATCTCATTGTTAATTTTCTTCAGAAGATTTCGTTCGTTCATTTGTGATATTTAAAGGTGCTAGATAATTTCCAGTTCTGGAGATTTTGAATTGTGCTAGAAGAAGTGTTTTTTTTCTTCCTCTATTGCATGTTTGGCCTTGTGCTAAGTTGTTTTTGCTTTTTGTTCTTTTTCTCTTCATCTGCAGATATATTGCTGAGTTTTGCACTCTCTGGTAAATTATAGAGACGATAATGTGTTGCCTGAGTTTGTACTTGTTGCCGCGGTCGCAGATCGAAGCTCTGAAATGTCGTGTTTAGTTGTATTTTAGGAATAGATTTGCATTTTTCGAAGCTTCACAACTGAAACCAGCGAGTTTTTTCAGGGTTTGACGAAATCATATTAATTTAGGTGAGAAACTATAACATATTTATCTGAAAACGGAACTAAGGAGTTGATCCTCATCGTAATGTTAATCCAGTTTTGATGTTCGTTTTTGGTGCTCTGATTTTCCTCTGCCTCTTCGTTTCTTTCAGTAAATCGATAAACTGTCTCATTTTCCTTTGGTTGCTAACAACGTGCAAGTTTTCGGTTAATGCGTTGATTTCCGTGGCTCCTTTTACGGTCTAAGTTTTGTGCTCTTGTTTTGGATCTCTTTCCCTTGATAAAATTTTCGATGCACTAGCTCTTTGTTTTTTTTTCCTTTTTATCTCTGACAAATATAGTGGATTTAAGTCCTCTGTTTTCCCCTTCCTGCAAAGAGGTTTTTTTTGTTGTTGTTGTTATGATTATGATCCCTTCTCTATTTACATATGCAATTTCTCTTTCAATTCTTTATTCTTCTTTTTCCCTCTTTCTTTCGCTGTTTGTGAGTCAAATGTTACTCAATTGGCTCCCGAATTGGTTTAAAGAGCAAAATATGAACAGCAAATATTAATTGTTGAAACCTGTAGAGTCAGGGAAAGTGATTGGATTATTAATGAGGTAAATGGCTGCAAACTCTAAGAAGAGAAGCCATTGAACCTTTTTTCAAGCTCTTATATTGATTTCTTTTTATTTTTCCTTTTTATGCGATATTATTTCCTATCAAATCATGGGAAAAACTAGCAAGCTCTTTTTCATGTGAAAGCAAATTGAATCTTATTGCATATAAATTTGGTAAAGATTTTCATAGTCTATTATCTGGTTATTGCTCATAATTTTCATCAGTCACGCCTGTCTTAAACCTTGAAGATGCTCCCGCCCCACGATTCCCATGGTTTTAATTTTTCTTCTCGAAAACTGTGTACCATTCGATGCACCTGTTTTATTTAACTTAAAATAAAGATACTAGATGCAAAATGAATCAGTATATGATAATAACCTTAGCTTAGTTCGAGGTAGTCGAGTAGATAAGCTTGGACAATTTCTAGTTTGTTGTAAAGGACATGTAATAATCTTTTGATGTTGTTCCACTAATAACCTCGCGATAACTTTACCTTATTAATGATGACGACGACAGGTAGGAAGGGGAGATGGATAAAGAGTCACATAACAACCATGTCAATAGCAACAACATTCCTAGCGTCAGAGATAAAGACAAAAGCGGAGGAAGTGATGGGTCCGGGTCGTTGTTATTGAGGGCTAGCTCCGACGGCATCAGGCAATCAACAACGCCAGACTTGGTGCTTCAGTGGGGTAACCGGAAGCGACTAAGGTGCATGAAGGTGCAGGTCAAACACGACTCTTCCAACCCGGTTCAGAGAACAACGGTTCGGGTAGATCGGCGGGTAGTTAGAACCGAGAAAGATTCTTCAAATAGACCCATACCCCCCGTCACTAATTATAACAATAATAACATTCATAATAATATTAATCAGAGTAACGGGTATTTGAATCTCCGTCAACGCCCCCCTTCGCCACAGCAACCTCCTCCACGCATTCTCAGGTATTTATTTGTACTTTCCCTCTTGCGATTCTTGTCTTACTTTATTTATATATATATTGAGATCCTTGAAATGTTAATTTAATCATAAATTATTTATAAAATAAAAAATAATAGTGATTAAACAAGAATGGGATGCTTTTCTTTTTAATATTTTTCAGGGAAAGAAGTGTTTTCTTTGTTCTTATCGATATTTCTAATTATAAAAAATTAAATTTGGTTTTATTCCTATCCAATGCATGACTTATGGCTTCAGATCTAGTCAAATATTCGGTAAGCTTGTAGGAAATAAATTCTTCATAGGATTTGTATGGAAGTTGTCGATTCATGTCTGCCATAAAATTTGCGGGGGCCGACTATATGCGATGAAGGCAACATGTAAGTCTCGAATGTCAGTCGCGGAATCTTCAGCTTCAAATGTTACTGTGAATATGAAAAAAATTGGGCGTTGCTGGCTGGTGCCCCAGTTAGACGATGTTCCTGTCTTTTTAAGTAGCATTGAAGATATTTGCTTCATTTGGGCTGAATATTTATCATGACCATGAGACTTATATTTTGTCCACTCTCCAATTGGTCAGGTCCTCGCGGACGTCTCATCCAAACCAAAGAGGAGCTCACGGTAAGTGCGTGAGGTCTTCTTTCATTCCCTCGAAATTTATTTGGAGCTTTATTATTATATGACTAAGCTAGGAAGCTCGCATTAATTAGCGTGTTGCTTTACTGAATTGTCGTTGCCTCACAAATGCATTATTTTGGCTCCCGACTAGCATTAAGTCTAAAATTTAGGATCAAATAAAATCAGGCAGTAACAGTTTTTTTTCCATTTTTTTAGTCACAGTTAGTTGGGCCGTGTTAGGTAGCAAATCTGATAAATCTAAACCGAGCTGCAGATCTAAATCCAAGCTTGTCTTTGCAACAAAAAATTTATTTTTCGTAGTTGGTTTCATGATATATGACATCTTATGGTGCTGTTTTGTCTGCAAATTGATCCTTTATTCAACTCTTTCAACATCTGGTGTTTTTTATACGAAATTAGTTGCTTGTATCGCAGCATTTTGCATAGTCATCTTATTAATGTGACATCGCGGTTGATGTTTTGTCACACGGTATATGATTGATATTCATGTGATACATATGCAAGTTTAATAATACCGAGTAATACGGTATGATGTCTAATTATCATGGAGGTCCACTAGAAATCCTTTAAGATCATGTTCATGACCAAGTAGCAAGAACTTACACCTCCTCTGCCATCGTGGATCATATTCTAACTGGACTGCCCTTGTGGATCTAGATCTACAACCCCGCACCCGAACCCCCTCATAATCGTGAGGATTACTACCAGACTTTGTCGGGAACATGGAACGGACGGTCACCTTCCACGTGTTCATTTTAAGTCATTTTCTATAAGAAAGTCTTTTGTGGCCGTCGGATGAGGTACCAGGTGTTAAATCTAGTACGTCCCATTCTATATTTAAACACGTAATAAAGTAGACTCCATTTTCTCTTCAATAGCCAATAAGCACTCTAGATCCAACGGCCCCAAACCTGCCATGGAACCAGCTGTACCCGTTTTAAGGAATAAGGAATCATATTCACATACCCCTCTCTCTCTCAAATATCTATCCAAACCTTTTCATCTTACGAAGTGAAATAAATTAAAGACACCAGCCCCCGGTTTCTCAAAGCACAATACAAATACCCCGAACAAGCCTAAAACCAGCCCATATTCTACGCAAAATCCGTTGATATTCCAACTTCTTCAACCCTGCGATCTAGATCGACCCACAAGGTCAATTTCGTAAATTCACTACTCCCCTAACCTTTTTTTTAAATAACAAAATAATTTCTCAATGCCTATTTGTTTTCCCAATTTATCACGTCCTGTTCAGCATTCTTACTGTTAAGAAACACATGGAATAAAAATCATATGTGACTTCTGTTTTCCTTTTTATAATTTATTTATCTTACATAGGAATTCGGAGACTTCAACTGCTATGAGAGGAGGCCAAAGCAACGGGAGTGTTAGGGGAATTGCCTCACCGGACAGAGGTGCGCACGATAAGAGGGGGACCCATAACAACCACCTTAATGACAATAATAACAAGTTTGCTGTCTCATCAGATATAGCACACGATAGTAAGAAAGGTAGCGGGTCGCCGTCGGGTAGTGGCGATGCGGCTCCGGCGGTGTGGCTGCCCAAGTTTGTGATTTCCTTGACCAACAAGGAGAAGGAAGAAGATTTCCTTGCCTTAAAGGGGTCAAAGCTGCCTCAGAGACCCAAAAAGAGAGCAAAACTCATACAACGAACCCTCAATGTAAGCTCCACTTCCCTTGATTTAAGTTATTTTCACTTTATTTTGTTTTATTTTAGTTATTATATCTTCATGATGAAGTTTTTTCTATATGTGGACCATTTCTAAAATCTTTTACAGGCAATATGCCATATACTATCGCTCTAACCTTAGATTGGAGAAATTATGCAATGGAAAGATTTTAACTTAATAGAATAAAATGATTAGAGGTTTTATCACGTGATCCAAATTTAGAATTTGGGTGAAACGCTTTGTAAAGAGCTACGTTAGTCAACAAGAAGGATGGTATGATTTTCTGAAAAATTGTTGCATGACTTAGCGCATAGTATTAGTAGAGTAAACCCCATTCTCACCATACGAAAAAACATTTTTAAATTTTAAGCAATACTTAATTCTCATGGTAGAATATGTTGCAGTAGAGGATAAAAATAAATGATTTTTTTAAAATTCAGTGGATTTTTTTAACAAAATTCAAAGCAAATTCGACGTAACTGAATCTTATGATTGCTGTTTTGAAACATTTTTACCTATACTTTGAAGAGTTCTCATAGTGACTCTTATTTAAGTACTCTATTTAAAATATTTTTCAATCTTATTATATTATAGAGATATTTTTTTTTGGTTGGTTGCGCTATAGAGGTATTTTTAAAAAGTACTTAAATAAAAATAATAATAAATGTTTAAAAGAGACGATATACATTTTCATATTTTGCCGTTATTTTGCCAATTCTTTTTTTTCTGCTGCTCGTGTACGGCAGTCGGCGTCTTCTCCTTTCTTTTACTTTTTGGACCCTCTGCTTGGAAAAGCTACATTCAGAGCGCTGGCAGCTGTGGATGGGTTTTACACGCGTCAAGGGCGGCTTGGTTCACAGCGAATAATTGTGTCTTAAAAGGGTTTTTAGGACCTGTGAACAAAAACTTTTTATAAGGAGTAAATATTTATTTTAATTTATTAAATTGTGAATATAAATTATATAAGTTTTAATTTTATAGAAAATTATTTTATTTTAAATTACTAATTTTATATAAAAACTAAGATAAATATTAAATGATATTAATGCATTAGATTATGTGATATTTAATACAAATTTATTAATTTTTATTAAAATTGATTATTTATAAAGTTTGTACATGTATTTGACATAACATTTATTTATAATTTTAAAATACTCATTTTAATTGTCTAAAATTATGTGACATCATATTAGTCTTTTAAGAACTTTGGTTATGAAAACAATTTAACTTGGAATTAAATTAGTTCTTTAATTTATTTATGTTATCATTTTATTCTTTTGTAAAGATGAATATGGAGGTATTTTAAAACTTTAAGAGCCTAATTTACCAAGAAGATTTTTAGTCGACTAAATTGTTATTAAAACTTTTGAAAAGATTAATTTAGTGACTAAAAAATTTAGAGAATTTAGGTAGTAATAAAATAGTTTTCATGATCAAATTAAAGGTATTTTTTTTAACAGCATCATTGAGTTCTTTAACAACGACTTTAAAAGTCGTATCTATGATAACTTTTTAGGTAAATTATGTGGTACTTTTAAAAATTTTTAGGGTAGTGTATAGTAAATTTTTTAACTAATAATACTTAGACACATGTTTAATTAATAATTTTATTTAATAATAAATTATATAATATATTTTTTTATAATTTGTCATGTATTTCTTTTTTATTGGTATAATATTTTGTATATGGTATTCATAAAAAAAAATTTATGGTATCATTGAACACATCAACTTTACAATTATAGTAATGAAATAAATTTTATTCTTTCTAATTTAACGAAAATATGTTGAAAGTATAAATATTTTTTACATTATTATTTAAATATTAACTTTTTAAATAACTATGTTATACTTATAATATATTAAAATTATATGATGTTATTAAATTCATTTATGTATTTGTTATTATCATAACTTGTTTATTTTTGTTTTTTTCGTAAGGACTATATTAGTAATAAGTAATGCGTGTGTAATTAAAATATATTTTGATGCTAAAATAATTATGTTTGTACAAATGCAAGTCGTTGGCCGCTGGCTCCACATGTCTAATTGCTAGTATTGGTGGTGTGGGGCTTCTTAGGTGGGGCTATATAAAATATATAAAGGAAACGAAATAAATTCTGAATTTTATCCCATACAAAAATAATATATATTTTGGGTGGAAAAGAAAAAGAAGGTGCAGCTGATTAGGTGTCACATCCACTTCCAGTTAGCTTAATCAATCTGTGGACTAGACTTTCCTGTGGTATACAGTTTATTTATTTAAAACTTCGTCTGATTGTCTCGGAACGTAAAAGAAACAAACTAATCTATACTCTTACAACGTTATAATATCCTAATATATATAAAATATTAAAATACACATGCATATACACTCAACTTTGTTGCAATTGCATTTTATTTTTTTTTCTATTCAAGTGCTTATTGCTTTTATGGGTTTTTTTTTTTTTTTTTTTTTTTTTTTTTTTTTTTTTTTGTCTCAGGTACCCTCCACTGGGTTAATTTATATCACTCAAACGACATTTTTATATGAAAAATCATTTGCATGAAACATCCATCGCTTTTCCTTGATAAAAAATTCGTAGTTTTATTATTATTATTATTATTATGTAGTGGTTTATGGTTTAAGTTTATAATCATTTTTTTTATCAGTTTATTGCAATAATACTTCTTTTAAAATATTTATTTTGAAAAAAAAATATTCCTAAACACATATCGGTGCTTATTCAGTTAATTTAGAAGAATATTTACTGGACAAAATAATACTTTTCCGCCCATCATTTATTCTCCTGTTTCTGTTATTATTGATGATGATCCAAAATTCTAAATTAAGATCCCCAAATAAATTTTTGTTAATTTTGTTCTGTATCACAGCTCGTAAGTCCAGGCACGTGGCTATGCGATCTTACTTTGGAACGATATGAAGTTAGGGAGAAAAAAATATCCAAAAAGGTAAATTAAAGAGAGAGAGCAAGAAAAACAAGGAAAAAGATCTCCTCATATTCAAAATCGAATATGACGGTCGCGAATGTTAAAAAATACATGAACATGTTCGATTTTGAACATGAGTGGATCTGGAAAAACAAGGCATTACCCGCTTCTTGTGTTTTGTATCATATCTCGATGCATGAATTAACGGCCAGCAAATTTGGAATTTTATGCAGAGGCCAAGAGGGTTGAAAGCAATGGGCAACATGGACTCCGACTCTGAATAGAAGCATGGAAATGAGTGTTGTTATGTTGGGTATGGGGGTGAGAAATGCTTTGTTGTTTAGATAGTGTAAAGCATTGCATCGCATCCCAGTGTGCCAAGAAATCAAAATCAAATATAAATGACTTTCGCTTAGTTTCTAATTTTCTCACTTATTTCTTTCCGAACAAAATTTAGGTGCACTTTTTTTTATACACAGTAGTTGACGTGTTTACCATTAAAACTTTTAACTTTTATCTTAATAATCTATCATAATATTAAATATAAATATTTTATTATGATCATATTTAAAATTTAATTAATAAATAGTGTTAACAATATTTAAATAATCGCATGTAAGTTTTGTCTTTTTTATGTTTCTATTCAACCTTATTTCTTCAACTTATTATGTCCCGGAAAAGGTCTCCCCTTAACAGCAATTACGACAGGTGACGCGTTTTCAGCAGAAACTCACAGGGGTTTACACCTGAATCATGGAGTCGCCTCATAGACTAATGGTGGTTTGGATTAGAAACTAAATAGAAAATAAAAAATAGGAAATAAATTTTAAAATGTGTTATTCGAATATATTAAAATTAGAGTTAATAAAGCAAAAAAAAAAAAAAAAAGGAGAAAATAAAAAATTAAATGATGTTAAAATAATTATAAAATTCAAAATTTAAGCAAAACAGTTGCAGCAGAGGGGATGAATTTCTTAGATAAACTAAAGATGAAATATAAATGTATGGTTTCACTAATTTTTATTTTACTTTCGTTTTACAATTCAACTAAATTATTAAAATATTTTATTATCTCTATTTCATTTTATTTTATTCGATTTCAGTCTTTCTCAATTCATTAAATAAAGTACACGGGACCAAAAAATAAAAATGACATCGCGAGAAATGGGGTTGTCGATTGAAAAATAGGTTCAAGCCAGTCCCGTTTACTCGTGCTAAAGCAAACGGTTATTCTTCTCCTTTTTGGTAAGATATTATTCAAATTCACCAAAAAATTATAGGTAAAAGATTAATTGTAGGCCTTTGTTAAGGACAGAGCTTTTAGTAATTGAAGTAATTTATATCGAGTTTGTAGTTTTGTGTGGAAAATTTCCATCGCTCTCGTTGATTCTCCTGGTTAAGGTAGAGCTGATTATTTTATCTTTTCAAATTTTTTTATTTGAACTATATATATATATTAAATAAAATCATGTTTAAGTCGAGTAGAACCATTACAAACAATCAAACATTTATTTTAAGTGTTTAATATAATTATATTTATTAAGATTCAAACATAAGATCATAGATAAAGTTATAACAATTTTGTTAGTTGATAAAAATATGATAGTACTGTAATTTTTTACTTACTCTGCTTAATAATTCTATAAATATTAAATTAAAAAATTTTCTTAAATAAATTAAGTATATAAAATTTAAAATTTAGATATATATTTACTTATTCTAAGATGGTATAAATTTAGAATATCTAATTATATATTGAAAAAATTAAATTAAAATTAATTATTAATTTTATAATAATTTAAAAATAAATAAATATTATTTTATAGAGATCAAAGTTAAAAGAAAATGTTGTGTTATAAAGATTAAAATAAAATTCACCATCGAAATATGTTGAAAAATGTTATGTTACAAAAAAATTTTTTTACTAATTTTAAATAATATTACTGTAACCTAGTATAACTATTGTGATAATTATAAGAATATGATGTTTGAAATTTAGTTTACTATAATGAACAAGAGAATGTAAACTAATTTTTAAATGTCAAAGTCATTAAATACCCTTTTAACTTGTTTTATGAGTAAAACTTCATTATACTATTTTGGTTAAATTATAAATTTATTTTATGTTCTTAATATATTTTTTTAATTTGATATCTAAACAAAAAGAAGTTATAATTTAGTTTTTATATAAGTAAACGCTTTTAGATCAAATTAATGCTTGTCATTTAATATGTGGTGATAGCGTTAAACAAAGAAATAAAATGTAAAAGGAAAAAAAAAACTTGTATGAAGGTTAAAACAAAAAATTTTAATATTATAGATTAATACGTAAATAAATATAACTATATAAATAAATATTTTTTAATTAATTATAATTTAAAAAATAAATAACTAACACTAAACTTAGCTAAGAAAAAAAATATTATATTATTTAACTTTATCTTCAGAGCGCGCTTAATTCTTGTCTAGTAAAAAAAATTTACATTATTTTATAGTTTTGCTAATTTCAAATTTTAAGGTTGAGTTTAAATATTTAAAAGTATAACATTTTTATTGAGAAAGAATGCATTTATTATATTAAAGTTATAAAAAATGTATTAAATGTTTTTTTTAATAAAATTTTGTTATAATTATCTGCTTAAATTTAGTCTTAAGGGATAAATTTAATATTTTTTATTTTTTATTTTTATCTTTTATCATACTTTCAAATAAATGAATAAAATATTAATCTTAATATTTTACTTGTAATTTTTATTGTATATTAATTATTATAAAATATTTGAAAAAACTTTTCTTTCTAAGGAAGAAAATATTTATTGTTTTTAAAATATAAAATTATATTGGATATAAGTTTAATTGAAGATATAAATTTTAATTTTATAAAATTTTAGATTTTTTCATTCAGTATCTCATATTTTTTCAAAGAATTCTATTTTTTAAATTTATAGTTAAAATGTACATTTTTTTTTTCTTAAAGTCAATGCTTATTTATAGAGTAGTCCCTGTAATTAAAATCTATGTTTTAATTTTTATATGGGTATTTTTTACATTTTAGTCCCTTTCATTTAATATCTTGAATAAGATTTTAAACAACAAAAGCTAATTTGAAAATGTTTACTAATATAGAAATGAAATTGTAATATTTTTTAGAAATTAAATTCAAAAAAATATGTTAAATATTGACTAAATTTATATTTAATTTAATTTTGTAAGTACTACTATCTAACTAATTAAAATGATAATTTTATTTCAATAGCCAACATAATAAAGGTCAATATAAAAAAAAAATTGATACAAAATTTAGAGATAAATCTCTAATTTCAATTAGAAAATTATCAAAGTACTACATATAAATTTTATTCTTAACCTCTTAAAAATTTTAAAGATATGACACTAAAATACCTTTTACCTAACTTTCAACTACTATTTTTCTCGTAACAATTTCTTTCACTATACTTTTAAATTTAATAAATTACTCTTTGTAACCTACTATGAATTAGGTAGTCTTTTTCAGCTTGTTTTAATGATAAATTTTATTTTAAAATATATACATAATACATATATTTTTTGTTTGATTCCTATACATAATAATTTTTTTATTTTTCTTATATATAATACATTCTTTTATTTTGATTTCCGTAATTTATTTATTTATTTCATAGAGAGACAAGAATGAAAAATATGAACAGAAACTACAATAAAAAATATTAAATATAAAATAACGATGTTATATGAAAGTTAACAACATGAATCATTTTTAAAAATAACGATGTAATTAGCTTGTCCGAATAATCCCTCAAAAGTTGTGACCTTTGTTAAAATATTTGGGTGTGGATAAAATTCAGATTTAGTCGAGTCTATTGCTAGATGCTATGTAAAAGAGTTTTAAATATTTGGGGTCGAGGGAAAACGCTGACTTGACGTCTAATTATATTATTATCAAAGTATTTATATGCTATGTGAAGAGTTTTATTTTTATTCTTTGTTAATGGCTGTCTTTGTTCTCAATGTAAATTAATATTTATATTATATGTTTGTTGGGATGTAAATTATGCAATTTTCAAAAAAGTAATAATAGGTGAGAATAACTTTGGTTGCAAAATTGATGTGGTGAAGCGAAAAGAATGAGATGTGAACGACAAAGACAAAAAAGTATCCAACTATTCTTAAGTAGCTTCTGCACAGGTGCTTCTTGGAGCAAGAGCAAAAACTTAAACACAGAGAGGAAAAGTGAGAGAGAATGTATTCTATATATTTTATCTTTTACGAAAGGTTGGTATTTATAGCATACTAGAAAAAAATTAAAATAAATTGATAGTTAGAAATGATAAAATATTGAATTGACTTATTCAATTAATCCTATTTATTGGTTAGAATTACTTTTAACACCTCCCTTTGATTCAAACTAATTACAAACTAATAACATTTAAAAATTCTTTTAACTCTTTGAACCTTTCACTCTTCAAAGACTTGGTCATAATGTCAGCAAGTTGTTTCTTAGTTCTGCAGTGCTGTAGTCTGATCTTTCTCGTACTTGATCTTTGAGGAAATAGAATTTGGTGTCTATGTGCTTGCTCTTACCGTGTGACATAGGATTCTTAGCCAAATCAATTGCTGATTTGCTATCTACCAACAAATCCACTACCTCACCAATAAACACCTTCAATTCTTTGAGTAAAGAGGATAACCACGAAGCTTGACAGGCAGCTGCACAAGCTGCAATGTATTTAGCCTCACAAGTAGACAACGTTACTACTGTTTGCTTTTTAGAATTCCAGGATATAGGAGATCCTGACAACAGGAACACTTGCCCCATGGTACTCCTTCTGTCAACCAAATCACCACACCAGTCAGAATCAGAATAGGCTACAAGGTGTAGACTATCATCTCGCTTGGTGTGATGAGGAAACAAAATGCCATATCTGAGTGTTCCTCTAAGATACCTCATGGTTCTTTTAGCTGCAGTCAAGTGTGATTGTCTAGGATCACTCATAAACCTGCTGACCAAACTAACACTAAAGGCTATTTCTGGCCTGATGTGACAAATAAATCTCAGGCTGCCAACAATCTGCCTGCACATAGTTTCATCAACAGAGCCCTCATCCTCACTCTTCACAAGTTTCACATTCAATTCAGCTGGAGTCTCTACTGGTTTACAACCCATCATTTTAAATTTCTTCAGGACTTCAGAAATATACTTTCTTTGATGCATGAGAATGTCTCTCTCAGTGTACGCGAACTCTATTCCTAGAAAATAAGATAGAATACCTAGATCGGTCATCTCAAATTCACTCTTCAATCCTTGCTTGAGTGATTTAATGACAGTCAAACTATTACCAATGATAAGTAAATCGTCAACATACAAGCACAACATCAAAATCTCAGTTTCACCTACTGTTTTGATATACACACCATGCTCGACTGA